GCATCAAGGGAGAAACTGTGGAAATGATAAGCAACCGCAGGAACATGTACCTGGACTATACCCCCAACTAACCAGAGTGGCGGTCTTCCAGCCATGGAATGCCAGTTTTCCAGATTCCCCCTGTACCCATCAGGGAATAAGTCCCAGTTCTATTCCCTTTGGTGCTAGTATCCCACATTTCCCTTTTCAGCATTACGTTTAAGATTCAATAGTGTCACGGAGGCAACATGGTCTCTTTTCATATCTCTTAGCTTCCTATAGAAGCGACATGAGACTGCAAGCATCAAAATTATGATGATAAACAACACAGTCAAACTAGAACTTAAGCTATGAGAATTGCTTTGAGCCCAAGCTCGCGGGTCCAACCCTTCCATGCCTTTCACCAATTGCTTATTCATATCAGAGCCAGGAGATGCCTCAAGCTTGTCTTTGAATGTATAGAAAATATCCTTCTGAAGCTGATTAACATCTAATGAAATGTCTCCCTTAAACCCTTACAAATGTTTCCTGATCAAATCCCAATTAAGCAATGTTACATTATACAGGTAAGGAGTTACACAGAAATCAATTACATTCCAATCACATTATAGCATTAACTGATGTTGTAGAGCACTCCCAGTGAGGCTGCAGTGGTGGCAAGGGCTATGAGTCACTTGCCACTTCTGCACGAAATTCCCACGAATCAGCAAGGTCTTTTCAGCATCTCTGACATCACTTGTATCACGAGGGACGACTCAGGACTACTTTCCCATCTGCTCTTCATCTCCACGGGGATCCACACCCCCATCCTGCTCTTTAGGATGAGGATGCTATCTTTTGAAAGGTTTATAAGCATAGCATGGTTAATGCAAGTGAACAATTCACAATTATGGCAAGTGTCACTGTGAGCAGTTTCATTCATGATGTTCTTCAATTACATTATAGCATTGACAAGTCCAAAATCTTGATGTTTCAGCAAAGCAACAGTCTGTAGTAATAGTCCAGTCATTATTGTATAAAATGTTCAGCTTTGATAGAGTCTCAGAGTGTCCCTTAGACAGCATCCGCAATGGAAACGATATCTCTGCAGTCAGCGATCGCCATTCTCAGGAATCTGCGAAGTCTTCTCTACGTTTTGAGTAACTTCAGTAACAGGATAGGGTCACGTCACAGCATGGACGTCCCTCTTTTCTTCTGGGCCTTGCTGGCTGAAGAGAAATCCACCTATCTCCTTTGCCTGTGAAAATATAAACAAATAGCCCCTCTCTTCAGGGTGTCATTAACCTGCAAAAGGAATTATGGTTAAGATTGGGTGGCTTCTCCATCTCTTCTTTGTCCATTTTTCTCCAAACGTGGTTGCGTCCTAGAGGGAGTCCATCAGCTTTATTCTGCAAAAATATAAATGCATAGCCCTTTCTCCAGGTGAATGGACCCGGATCCCAAACGCGGTTTCCATCTTCTTGGGACTTCTTAGGATTAGCTTTCTCTGTAGAACTGAAAATGTGTTTATCTTCCCTAATTTTATTACAAGCTTTTAG